CTCCGAATTCATCCGGTAATGGCGGTTTTTCTTCTCTGGTCTACTTTAGACACAGCGACAAACTAGAACTGGAGGACGCTGTACATGCTGCCATTCTGACCCTAAAGGAAAGTTTTGAGGGCCAGATGACGGAAAACAACATTGAAATCGCCGTCTGCAACGAGAAGGGCTTTCGCATTCTGGAGCCGTCCGAGATTAAGGACTATCTAGCCACCATTCCCTAGGGCATTCTCTAGTCCCTCCTCCACCTGACCACATTTTGTGTACCTATCCAGTGCCCGATGCAGCCGTCCCCCATATCCACGCTCTCCAAATGTGCACCTCGTTCCTTCTGGTCTGAATTTTGTTGGAATGAGTAGGTCAGAAAACTGCCATCGTTGTGTCAAGCGAATGCTCATTGGGCGTTGTCAAGGTTATCCGAGGAAACTGGAACGAAAAAGCAGGGTACTTTGAGAACCATTGAAGGTTGGGCGAAGACGTTTGTGTTCATTTCAACCGCTCCGGTTCCACTGCGGCAGATTCCAGGGTCCAACGTATGGTAGTTGGCCTTCTTAATCAACGACAGCCACATTCACAGGATTCTCTATGTCCTGAGTAATACACAGAGCACTTCGGTGGTTCGTGTTACTGTGCTTTCGGGAGTGACCGACGTATCCATTCTTAACCTAAAATTGCGTTGGCGATGGGAGAAATTATTGTTGCTCTTGTCGTATTGTAAACGGCTGATGTGGGTGGTTGGAGCCTTGGTGTGCTTTAAGCAGACGAGTCGGGTCCATCAGTCTGTTTGCGGTGGGCGTCGAGACCTCAGTCGCGACAGGGCGTGGCGTTGATGAGACCAGGTTGCGCGACAGCCGGTCTCACATTGAAGCCCCTAACACGGCCTGCTGGCGTGGTCTGCTCGGTCTTAGTCTGGCTTTTTCACACGAGTTGGGATGTTGTAGACACCTGTGGTGGTGGGCTGAGTCCGAAGAACCGTGTTGGCCGTACATAGAAACTGGCAGTCCGATCGTCGCGAGTGACGACATCCACAGTGTGTCCCGCCTAGTGGGTGCACCACTGGTGACTTGCAGCTGAAGTAGTCAGACTCGTGCAGCATCTGTCACCTCCCTCATCCACCTTGCTCCAATGTCAACATCGCGGACACAGTGGGTGGTGAGGCTGTACGGTCCGCATGCGTGCCGCACATGACCTGGTCTCCATTCTAGATGTACCAGGCTCGATTCGGACCTCACGTAAGTGAGGATGTCACAAGGACCACATTTAGGGATCACTGCAGCCTGGCTGTCAGTCCTGAGAAGGACCAAGTTATCCTGCCAGTTGGTAACCTCCTGAGTCGCGACTTACTGCGGCACAGGTAGATCCAGGTAGGTCAGACTATTTAGATTTGAGGATGCGTTGATGTTTCACTTGAATGGTTTCCTGGTGTTCGTTTCGTTTACTCCTCTGATTCGTGAGTCGACTGTCCGACCCCGTCAAACAACAGACGATGAGATAAGCGCAATGTCTAACGAAACCGGCGATGCCAACTGTGTGCTTCACAGCGAGATGAGGCAGGCACGGTGACTTGCGCGCGAATAAGTTTAGTGAGAGTCGGCTTTCGCAGCATCTACCGCACTCTCTCCCCAACTGGACCGAACGTTAAGACAGTCAAGAAGACCGGAGGCGGGAGAGGGCGCAGGTGGCTGGCACGGTGGGGCCCGCACTTGGGTGTACCACTACATCTGATCCACAACAAACACTTGGCCGGGACGGTGCGATGGTGTGGTGCAACTGGCGGTTGTCTACCACAGGTTTTCATGGACGCGCAGGTGGCCTAATACACCCATGCGGTGAATAAATGTGCGAGTGCAATGTGGGGACGCATGCGGTGAATGTAGGTTGCTGCTCCAGGCACTGGTCTGTCCGATGGATTCGCAAGTGACCGACCAGGCCGATGTGTAAGGTGAGCGTACGATCACAATGAGGACAAGTATGAACCGAGTCAACATCGCTGGAGGTGGGGATGTTGGTGATGTTTGAATTTGGCGAGACTTCGCCCCATCGGTGGGAGGGGGGAGTACCTGAATACGTGGTGATGGTGATGCTGGCCGCTACGGTCGACTCAGTGGCTGGAGCAGGACAGATGATTTCGGTGGCGGCGGGACAGCAACCGCGTGATCAGCGATGACGGGGGTAGTCGTCGTCGCGGAGTCTGCAGCAGGAGGGAGAGTGGCGGAAGAAGTAGACGTCGGGTTGTTGGTGCACTGAGTCCGAGGGTGTCCTGTGAAGCCGATTTACACCCGGAAAGTTCACTGACACCTTGGACATGTTGGGGGCGGTTGAGTACTGGCGTTGCGAAGCAGGGGCAGTTGGGATTTTAGAACTTCACGTTTGGCCTTGACGGCGGTTACGCGGTTGGCTTCGTGTATTGCTGCTCCTGTCTTCATTATCCTCCTCCAGATCACTCAGTTCTGAGCGAGGTCTTCCCAGTTAGGCGCATTGACCTGCAGGCGCCTCAACGAAGTCTTCAAAGTATCCTTATAACGTTGTTTCGTCCTTCCCGATCGGCGAGCACTCGTGACGACATCTCCGTAGAGTTGCTTTGGTAGGCGAATGTTATCCATTCTCACCAAGTGGCCACAACATCGTAGTTTCAGTCGCCTCAGAATGGTGTGGATGCTGAAGATTCCGGTCCGTCCCAGGACTTCCGTGTCCGGGATCCTGTCCTGCCATCTCAACTTCAGTATTCTCCGAAGGCTGTTGAGATGGAAGTGATTGTGCTTCCTGCCATGGCTTGCGTAGACGGTCCAGGTCTCCATACAGGAGTATCAGAAAGACGACGGCCTTGTACACCTTCAGTTTGATGCTCATTTGGACACCGTAACGATTCCACTCGAAGGCTTGCAGCCGGCCAAAGGCCTGGCTGGCTTTAGAGAGCCGGCGACCGCCTCATCGTAGAGATTTGGGCTGCGCAAGAGTGTGCCTCATAGATAGGCAAAGTTGTCCAAGGTTTGGAGTTCGTTGCCCTCAACAGTGATCCGAAAAGTGTTGTATTCAATGTCCAATCACGGTTGGTGCATGACCACCGCTCAGTCCGCGTCGATTGTCAGGCTGAAGTTGTCGCAAGTGGTGGTGAAGAGGTCTGTGCTCTCTTACGTACCCCCTCCACTTGTTGTTTTGAGAGCGCAATCGTCGGTGAAGAGAAGTTCTTGAACGGCCGCCCATGCTGTAGGATCTCAGGACGTTTCTTACGGGAGGCGTTCATTAACATGACAGAGAACATGAGACTGAAGAGGGTGGGCGCGAGGTCGCAGCCCTGCTTCACTCCTTTGGTCACTACGAACGCCTTTGAGATGGTTCCATTGTCTTTGACTTGCGCCATCGTGGGGCTGACGCACCATCTGGGTAGGTCGCTGTGGACAGCCGGATTTTTGCATAATTTCTCACAGTCCTTCGCTATTCACCGTGTCGAAGGCTTTCGTCCGGTCTACGAAGGTAGAGTAGACATGGATCCGCATCTCCTACAACTTCGTTTACAGCAGGCGGGCGGCAAACATCACGTCGATGGTTCCGTGGTGACTGCGGAAGCCGCGACGACTTTCCGGCAGGAGGCCCTGCTACAGATGGTTATTGTGACGGTTGAGAAGAATACGAACGGAGACTTTTCCGACGATGTTGAGCAGCAAGATTCCTCAGTGATTGTCGCAGAGTTAGCGGTTCCCCTTTTACCTGTGGAGATGGACGTTTGAGGCGTATTTGAAATCCTGTGGGACTTGTCCATGACGCCACATCTAGAAGAGCGCGCCAGCTGATTCATAAGTTTGGGCCGCTGTGCCTGTAAACCTCACCAGGTATCGCGTCTGATCCGGGGAATTTCCCGCGGGAGAGTTGCTGTACGGCCCTGATGGTTTTGTGGACAGTGGGCCGGAGGTCGAGGTTGGCATTAATTTCCACTGGAGGCAGACGGGCGGTGGCGGCGTCGGAGATGGTGGAGGGACGATTGAGGACGCCTCTGAAGTGTTCGGCCCATTGCTACAGAATTTGCGCCTTCTCAGTGAGTAGGGTAGTTCCGTTGTCGATGAGAAGAGGAGCGGTTCATTTGACTGTGCGACCGTAGACAACATTGATAACAGCAAGGAGGTTCTTACGTTTGCTGTGGCCCGCGTATCCTTGGCTTTTCTCAGTCTTGCGAACCGTCCAGGAGTTTTGCATCCTCCGCAATCGCTGTTTCCTAGGGTGGAGACTGCGGTAGAAGGCTGTCTTGTTTGCATCGGTGGGACGATTAACGTAGGCTTTGTGCAGACGGTTTTCTTCAGCGAGTAGGCTGCTAGTGGCGGCGTCATTGTCATCGAACCAATCCTGGTGTTGGCAACGTGCGCGACCGAGGACGGTTGTGGCGATCGACTGGACTGTGTCCCTCAGTTGGTTGGTTCTCCACGGAATCGTCATCGTCCGTTGTGACAGGAAGATTGGCTAGCCTTTGAGCTGGTTCACTGCTGAAATGGAGGTGGGGAGCAGGCAAACACAACAAAGCAATATTCAACCTACCTTTGGATCGCTTACCTTGAGGCCTTCTGGGTAGGTGTAGGCGGATCCTCGTCCTGGAGATGACGATGCGATGGTCGGTCTATCCGTTGGCACCCGGGGTCGCCTTTGTCCCCAGCATGTCCTGTTGATCCCGCCTCCGAACGAGGAAATAATCCAGCAGGTGTCAGTGTCGCAACCGAGGTGGATCCAGGTCACCTTCTCTCGAGTAGGAAGGCGGAGGAAAGTGTTGGTCAGGGTGAGGCCGTGCTCTGCGCAAGTTTGTAGGGAGAGCAGGCCGTTGTCATTGGAGCCTCCAAGACCATGCAGACCTAGTCCTCCTCCCCAGGCAGCATGATCTGTCCCGACGTGGACGCTGAAGTCAGCAAAGCCAATCACCTTATCGGCTTTCGGCACAGACGCCAGGAGGGCGTACAGGTCCTCTTAGAATTGGTTCTTTGCCTTGTCAGTGCTGGCCATCATGGGGGGGGGGCGTAGATGCCGATGATAGTGGCAAATCTGTTTCCCTTAAGAGTTTAGCGAAGCCTCATCAGACGATCGTTGATACCCTGCGTCAGACAGGCCAGTCATCCCACGGTGTCGTTCCGAGTGGTAAAGGCGACGACTGCACCCCGTCGCCCTGCTCTGAGGCGGCCGCTCCAGAAGAATGCGTAGTCGACACCCACCTCCTCCAGTTTACCTTGTTCGGAGGACCGGGTCTCGCTGAGTGCGACGATGTCCACCTTGGAGCGCGTCACTTCCTGAGCGAATAGCGCCGTCCTTCGTTCCAGTCAGTTGCTCCTGCGATTGTCTAAACGGAGAACGAACATTCCAGGCTGCCAGAGTGAACGGACTCACCCTACCAACCTGTGGGGTGGTACGGAGGGGAGGAGCAAGGAGAAGAGAGAGAGAGTATTTTGTCTTGTGTTTTAATTTCGACCGTATGTGTAGCAGTCTGCAAACCACGGTCTGCACTTTTTCTAACCCCGTCCCCCCGTGTGAAAACAGTGCTTTCCCTAAATAGGGCTGCTTTGTCGTCCCAGACGTTTACCGCTCTCCACTATGTGTCACGTATTAGTTTATTGGGAGAACGACCCAATTGGTCTAGACCGTCTACGTGATTGCATGCCGTCCTCGCCGTAGGTTTTTTCGACCGTGTGGAAAAAGAAGAGAGTAGAGAGTAGGCAGAGTAGATAGTAGAGATGAAGAGGGAATGAAAAGGTTATGGACATGATGGAGAGAGGGGAAGGAGAGCAGCGTTGTCGTGTGTGGGGATACACATGGATTCCCTTACCCCGTCCGGCCCGCCGGTCGAGGCGGTTACCCGGACGTGGCCGTTAAGCAGAGCCTGGCTTCGAGGAGTCACATGTGAGAGCAGAGTGCCAGTTAATGGACGCTTGGCGTACTCAACACGCATAAGCAAGTGAGCGACCTACTAAGACCATCGTGTTGACCCACAACTGAAGACCCCTACACCCCCTGTGTGTGCGCGCCACATGCATGGTCTCTACTCCGGGTGTGCTAGGACGCCTCGGATCTCGCATAGAAACCACTCGGTCACACCAACAAAACTTTTAGAATCCTCTTTAAACACAAGATCATTCAGGAGGATTCAAAAAGACAGATGCGAGTTGTCGCCTACCTTCCCATCCGATCCTCAAGGAATGTGTTCATATATCTGCGCCTCTAGAACCGCAAGGGAGACCCCCGGGGCAACTCCCCTAAACCACAGCGTTGCTTCGTACATCCCACGAACAGGATATGTTGCTACGATACTGAGTTTCGCAACTTACCCTCGGTCAGAGAGGTTGTCGCACCCAAATAAGTTAGCGTACCAACTGGATGTGAGTGAAGAACCCGACCTTGTGTATAGGAGTTACTGCCATAACTTCTCCCCCCCTCCCCTAACTATAAACCCCAAAGAACCAGGTGCTCCAACTCTTGGGGGGCAGAGTTATTGTCTTAGATCCTCATGACGCTGACCGTCAACGAAACAGGCCGTGATTTACTTGAATTCTGACTGAACTAGCATATTTGCCTGACATGCGTCACAATCTCGTCCCCAGATGGCTCAGTCTCGTTCCCGAGGGGGAACTCTCTGTAAGACCCCTGTGTGAATCTAACATCATCAGCTTACTAGAACGGCCGTCGTCGATATCATAGTCTCTTGCAGAATGTGCCAATCCATTTACGATAGTTAGTATGCCGAACATGATTCCAAATTCATGTTGCGACCAGGAAAACGCTTGTCAGCAAGGACAGAAAGTCTGTTGCGCAGTTCTGATGTATTCATACAACAGTCCCACGACCAAAAAGCCTTGGAACCTCGGTCGGCCTACGGAAACTGCCGAGTTTGAAGCTTAGTTTGCTGGCGGTTAGAAGGAAGCTGAAAGCTGCATTTCTAGTAACCCATCTGAATAAGAGACCTTAAAATGGAGGCGTCGGCTTGCGTCTACCAGATTCTGATTACAGGGAGCGGAGAACGCTCTTTGAAACACGGAAAGCACAATAAGCATGTATCTGTGAATGCAGTTTTTACGCCCTGTTGTGCCTCCCCTTCCTCCCTCCCTCCTCTTCCTCCTCCTTCTCCTTCTCCCTCTCCTCTTCCTCTCCCTCGCACGGAAATGTTGTATTGCAAGGTGATTGAGCCGACGTTTCCAACTCCTGCATGGTTAATAACTACATTCCGTGACCGCTCTCAAGAAATTTTCGCCGAAATCTTGAAATGCGTTTTGGATTAGGAAGGATTACGTAGGCGGGTTTGTAATATTGATTATCATGGGGCATAAGCCGATGATATTTCGGACTCGCCAAGATAGCTTTCGAGTGCTCTTCTTTCCGATCACATGTGAAAATTGCCCTTGGCAAAAGTGAATACTTACGTGGTACGCATGTTCCACATTGACTTCTGATGGCCTTTAAAGCGCACTTCACAGGAAGCGTGCACAGAAAATATGCTTTCTTTTGTTCGTTCGGTAGCAAATGGCGTCGTCGTTACATTTTATACACAGAGAAAGGACATACTTAGGTTGTAAGAAAGTTTTTCAGTTCCCGAATAATTTTGAGCTAGATCAGTCGTCGCATTAGCGTTCAATGATGTCAGTCTACAAGGCATATACTTTCCGCGTATAAAAAATCCTATATTTCCCTATGCCTTTCAGAAGATACCATATAGAGTTCACAAAATTTTGCAATTGGTTTGGTATTAATAATCGGAAAGGTACGGTACTGTGCAAGTGGACAATGCACGGCCTTAAAAAGTCTCCTAGCAAGTAACTTTTTTTAAAACCGAAAAGTATTCTTTCTTTGATTATAAAATACAAAGACGACTTGATTTTATACCAAATGAGTGAAGGAAAACACATTTTTGCACGTTTTTCTATAAAATATATATTGATTTATAGTGCCATAGAAAATCAGCGCGCAAAATGCATACTACTTAAGCGGGCATTTTGACGAGCCTGGTTTTATTCAGGAGGTTTAAAAGAAAACCATCCAAAAGCCGACAACATGGCACGTCCAAAATATTATAGGAGTATGCTGTGTGATGAGTAATATTGCAACCCCATCTAAGTAATCCTTCTAATTCGGAAGAGCATTTCAGAATTTCGGCAAACATTTCATGTGATCTGTGTCACTCATTATAACTTTAGTTGTTCACGCATTTACATGGAACAAATCAGCATCCATTGATTTTGAAGCCATAATGCCGATCGATCTGAAATACCTGAGCTACTCTTGTCGTTTATCAACCATTTTGTTTTTCAAATAGCCTTTTCAGGATGATTGGTATTCCTAAGTGTCTTTTCAGTGAAATTGATGTCAAGACTCTTTCTTGACCGATTTGTTACCGGCATACAGATCTCGTCATAGGCATCTGGTGGAGCTGCATCGATAGGCACCGTTTCATCCCACTCGAATTAATGACATTTACAAGTGTAGACATAGAAACTAGAGATCTGGGGGAACGCGATCATGCCGACGGACAGTATGCTAGCGTCTACTTAGGTAAACCTCGGATATCTGCCTATATAGCCGGTGTACACTGGAGAGCAATTCACGCAGGCAATATGGCATGTAACACTGCGCTTGTATTCCCCTGGTATTAAGTCCCTGACTCGAGACAGAACTGCCTGCAAGCTTGTGTGGTGAGTGAATAATAGCGTCATTGAACTGTTGCGATATGATGTTAGTGCTTCGGGGCCGACTCTCCACCGTCCGTTTC